TTCAAATTTTATTCCCAGGTTATTCTCTAGAGTAACTGTTAAGGGGATCCAGGCTTCAAAAAGTGAAAAAATTGCCAAAATTCACTTTTTTTTTATAGTATTTTATTGTTATTTGGTTATTTATGTACAAGAAAATATAAGTTTTATAGGTATCCTACACGTTTTTCATAACAAAAAATATATTTTCCCCAGATACTACATGCGCGCGTCTTAGTATTTTCTAGGACTTCGATCGCGATTCCCCGAAAGTTGTGGTTTTTAGTGTTTTGTAACAGAAAATTTGATATATCTCAGCCAATTTTTGTCCTATCATGTTGAAATTTTTACCAGATGTTCTTTATAGTATTTACAAACTTTTGGGTATAATTATTAATATAAGTCAAATAGTTAAAATAATAAAAAAAATTTTATTTGAAATATAGTATAAGAATTTTTTTTTTGTTTTTCAACCTTTATAAAATAAAAACTAATTATCCTACAAACAAAGTAATACCCAGGATTTCAGTAAGTGTACATAGCTACAAAAAGACACCTAGTTGAACAAAATTGATCAACTATTTTATGAGTTATATCAAAAATAAAAATGTGTTACGTTATGATACATAAAAATACATAAAATGGTACTGTGGTACATAGAGTGGCTACAACAAATAAAATAACAGTTTTTAGGCCCATTTGATATAATAAATATCTTAAAAAAATGATAAACATAAAAAATTTAAAAAATGTATTTTCTGAAGCCTGGATCCCCTTAAGGTTATTCCACTCGATAAAATCATATATTAAACACTACAATTACGTGTCAAATTAAATGTTATGAAATTTAAAACAAAAGTTTTGAATAAATTTTCAACATATGTTTTGAAATAAAAACAAAACAGAAGTTTTCTAACTAATCTTGCATCGTTGATTATTTAGTCAATGGGGCTATTTCATGTTAAACATTCCTTCAGCACAACAATAACCTACTAATGTGAAGAAATGTAATCAAAGTAAAATAATTTTGTAAACTTCGTGAACATATGTTTAAAGAAACCAAATCTTAAATGTTTCAGCCATTCTACTTCCATTTACTTTGATTTTAACCATCTCCCACGATTCTACTAAATTTCATGCGCTTGGCTAATTTACATACAAATACACAAATTTGCAAATTGCACAGTAAAATTAATTTCAACATTCTAAGACATAACGACAAAAGTCTCAATTGTAGGTAACGTCATCCCTGGTTTTATATAGTATACAGTACATTGCAGAATTTACTGGCAAATGAGTTAAATCCAAATGTAATATTGCTTAATTACTGGCTTAGATGAATCACGATCAGCTGTATTGAGGTAAACAAAAATCAACAGACAAATGGCTTCTAATGCTATTCTTATGGAGAACATTTTACGTTATATTATTGACTAAGTCAAAGGTTTTATCTAATTTTGTGTTAAAATTTGGGGAATTTCACTATTTTTCCGGGATCGAGACCTTTAATTTGAGCCCTCTCCCGTCGTTCTACGACTACCCAGTCGCCCACAATTTTGACGCAAAGAATCGGCTTTCGTAATAATTAATACTAGAGGTCGTCCAGTGGTCGAAAAATCGACCAAAAATATTTAATTGAAGTGAAAAAAAAATTAAATGAAAAATTATTTATTTATTCAGGCAAAGTTAGGGCCACATGGTCGTTTCTTACACTATGTAATGTACAGTATTAACCTTACACTGTAAATAAAACATGTGATAGGAATTTGTTTTGATTTTCTGTTTATATTTTGTTGTTATTTCGTCACCATCATGGCAACCCATAACTCCCATGTTATTTTTTTTTAGTTTTCAAATTCATTTTTTGTGCTTATTTTTGAGCCTATATTAATTTATAAAGGTATTCTGCACATCTACAGTAAAATATCTTTCCAACAGTATGCGTAGATTTTCCCTGCGATGCACACGAGCTGAGAAAAAAGGTTTTAAAGAAACATGCTTGCCTATTAATATATAGATAGATATAGATAGATATTTAATTTCCACAAAATCAGTTAATGTAACCAATGCGTTTCGTTGAATTGAAAAACAAAGAACACAATTAAATTAAACAGCTGATGTAAACAATATTATGTTCTTCGAAAGGATAACATGGGAACTTAAAAAGCCACTGTGGCAGAGGCCAAGGGACTTTTTCAAAAAATTTAGGCCAGTTTGCAAATCTACGCAACACGCTCTTTCCAATGAGACGTCAGTGGATAAAATCGGTTAAGAAATGGTGGAGGATTCAACCGACAAACTTCGTGTTCGCGTATTAATTATATAGATTTCATATGTGCATGAAATGTTGGTGTGAAACCAACTTGTATAACTTTAAGCTAAATGGTTTAAGTTACCTGGCTTCGTCAAGTGATCCTTCTTCAGTATCACACTACTATAGTTTCGGACTTGAAAATAAGTCCATCTTCAGAAAACGTCAATAGGTCATCTAACCAAATTGGTTAGATGACCTATTGACGTTTTTGTTAACCTGAAGATGGACTTCCAGAGGCTACCTCACCATGTATACCTTTGAAGTAGAGGCTATATTTATTCCCAAAAGGTATCAAACGCCAGATCCTGATCAAATCTTTTCTATCACTTTAAAGTTTGTTTCGTGTTTTTAGTCTTCACGTACAGAGACTTAAATCTTTGTATTAAATTGTTAGCAATCATAAATCGTGGACAGAATCTTCCACAAAAGATAAATACAATATAGTTCAACACCCTAGAACTCCTTAAAAAAAATATGTTTTGTTAAGGCTTCGTCATAATGTTAAAAATACTCAATACAACAAATTCATTAATTTTACATATGTAAACGTTGATAGTTGTGTGCGTATTGTATTTTAATATATCTTCTGTATACATATAGTCCTCTATATTTTCTGTGTACACAAATGCTTCTGTATACACGTTTTTGCAACTCACAGTAACTGAGAAATATTCTAAACTGGTGAACTGTTTTTATAAATTTTTGCCATTATTTCTCAACCCGTGCTTTAAAAATTAGTGACTCGTGGATAAATCCAGATACGAAATTTAATCTAAATCGGACCACAGGTTTTGTCTGTAGCTCTGTATCTGGATCATACAAGTGTGTATTATATAACCTGATATTAGTCAAAATATGTTTTATTCTATAACGTTTAATTTAATTAAACATAAAAGTCATGCTCCCTCCATTTTTAAAGTATTCAGTCCAAAAATGTAATAAATTTACTTGTGCATACATATTTATTTCGTTTTAATAAATAATTGAGTTGATGCAATACACTTATGTAGGCAGTCGCAGCAGTCGAATCCGGGCATAGCGCCTAAAGTTTCACGAACGCAAACCGCGCAACGAGTAGCTAAATGAGCCGTAGAGTAAGTGAGCCATCTAATATTTTGAAGAGGGTTCACTTACTCTACGGATCATAGTGCCAATGAACTGTAGAGTAAGTGAGCCATCTAATATTTTTCTGCAGGCTCGTATAGTATACGAGCCTATTCCTATAATTTATATTATTCATTATTTTGGCTCGTATACTATACGAGCCGATTCCTAAATTATCAAATAATTCGTAAGCTTGGCTCATAGTCACTATGATCTGTAGAGTAAGCGAACCTTCCTACTGTATTTTTAAATATAATACACGAGGCTCATAGGCACAATGATTCGTAGAGTAAGTGAACCCTCTTCATTTATTTTTTATTTTCGATAGGCTCGTATAGTATACGAGCCTGTAGTGCAAGTGAACCTTCAATATTATTTAAAAAGCTCGTATAGTCTATGATCTGTAGAGTAAGTGAGCTGTCCCCGTTTTGTGATTTAGTTTGGAATTGTGATTGTGAGAGATGGAATTATAATACATCTGGTTTAATAAAAGTTCTCGTCACTCAGAATAATAATAGAGCTACTCGTATTACTGGAAAATAAAATAAATTGGAATTAGGGATAATCCCTTCCTTGGATTTCAAAACCATGTAACTTTGTAACTTTACAAATTATTTCTGTAATTGTAACTTTACAAAAATGTAAATTTATTTATTTTTATCTGCCTTGCATGGCTTGCAGAATGTAGTTTTCATTTTTTTTAATTTTTAGTTGCATGCATTGTTCTTGCATGTTTTATATTGATTGAGATCCTGCATGTGTTTTTTTCAGCTTTTAATTTAATTTTGTTAGTCAAGAATGCTAGAAGAAGCTTGGCATGTTATTTATTATTTATTGTATTGTTGACGTAGCCTATTGTCCTGTTGAACTGAATGGCCAAATAAATCATTTGAATCATTTGATGTTTATACTCAATGTCAAAGCTTAGGAAGTGTGTTTAGGCTTCATGACTAAGATCAAAAGCCAAGCCACGCACCACGAGTTCTAGAAAATAATACTTGTTTTTATTTTTGATCATTTCATCTTCGTTTCGTTTGTTTTGTTGTTGTTTTGTTGATTGTTGATTGTTTGTTTATGTTTAATTTTGTTATTGTTCAACGTAGTAGAGGTTATTGTCATTGTGTAATATTGTGGTCTTGGTCTTAAACTTAAAACTTATGTTAAACTTAATGTGGCTTTAAGTTCGACGTTGACCGTTGTGCAAAGGCATGGGCAAGGACAAGAAAAAACACAAGAAGAAATCCAGTAAACACAAAAAGCGCTCAAGCCCAAAGTCAAGCTCTGTAAGTTGTAGGGGTTATATTATCTGTGGTTGTAGTGATGGGATAACCGAATGGTTTCCATGACCGAATAATCAATCAGTTATTTTTTGCGTCAATCGGTTATTTTTAGTTGAATGAATCACCGAATCAATTTTAGTCATTATTCACTGTCACAAACCACAACTAATTTTTATCCTATGGGAAACTGAATGGCATTTAGTCTTTTAGCGTCAATCGGCGATTTTTAGTCGAACGAATCGCCGAATAAATTTTAGTTACCTGATGATGTGACAAACTAAATCAACGAAATAACTAAATCACCGAATCGCACGTTAAGACTAATTCAACCGAACCAGGATAAAATAACCGAATTAGTCTATTCAACGCCAATAACCGATTGATTCGGTTATTTTCATTCGGTGATTCCCACCATTATGTGGTTGTAGGCTAGACCACCGGGGTGAAGAAATCTCTTTAGGCTACCTGTCACTTGACCTGTTGAGCTGCAATGTCTATTAGGGCTGATTTATAAGGCATGTATTTACCACATTATCCCTCAAAAACAATATAAGTTAATCTAAATACCAAAAAAAGCTTCTGGTAGACCTATTGATGTGTGTAGGCCTAGCCCTACTTGGGTATACTTCATTTTATCTGTTGGCACAAAACACAGAATGAGTAATCTTGATTATTCGATTGTTTAATTCAATACATCGTTTGGTTAGTTATGTTAGGTTAACCTTACCTAACTAATCAAACGACCTACGTACAGAAAGAGGAACACATACACACACAAGTAATCAATACTTTCTCCATATAAGTACTAAGTTATGTAAGAGGGAGAGAAAGTAAAAAGAATATAACTAAAAGAAGAAAAGCCTGACTGTGAGTTGCGACTAACGAAAAATCCACACATTCCTATTTCCTTAACTGCTACATGATCCATCTAAACTTACTACTTATTTATTTTAGGTTCGTTTTCGGCCTTTAGGGCTATTGAAACAAAAATATTGATTAATACTCAATATTTTTTAACTACAGTAGGTACCAATATCAATTAATAATAAAATGAAACCGTCACAACCTACCTAACTAACCAAACTTGCTGATAATGGAAAAATCAAATGCAAGTTTACTAATTGAATTGATAGTTTCAATCGATATTAGCTTAGCCCAGTTAAGAAACTGTACCCCCCCCCCCCCTTTACACTTCCTCATGTATGATACATACTGCATCTAACCGAGACTGGATTCGGCCTACGAAGCTGTCTTCGTTGCTTGGCCATCAATAAGATTAAGTGGTATGAGTTATTGGAGGCCTCTGCCTACTAGGGATGAGCTTCAATAGGCCTACTGGTAAAACTGAACTTATAGGACTACTTATGTTATATTGAACTTTTTTTGCCTTATATCTACCTAAATTAGACTATTTTAAGTTAAGCACTTTTTACCATTGGCACTTTTGGGGGAAACGCCTATTTCACCCTGAAAATCGTGTTTGAAAATCAAGAAAAATGCTAGAAATCAATGATTTTAGACGCATGTAAAACTTTTTGGGTACAATTTCTTAACTGGACTAACTTATGCTAATAGGCCTATCTATTGAACCTATCAAATTTAAAATATTGTTTAATAATTGATATATTTACCAGCTATATCAGTTATAAAAATAAACTATCATAACCTAACCTAACCAACCAAACTTGCTGATAGTGAAAACATCGAATGAAGGTTTACTAATAATCGGTAGGCCTATTATCATAGCTAAGTTGAGAAACTGTAGGTAGGTACCCAACTTCTTTTTAATACGTGTCAATAAATTAATACTAACCTAACCTAGCATAACCAGGGTTTACCAAAAAACGGTCATTTTGGCACATTGTTTACCTAAGCATGGGTTAGGTTGGGTTGGGTTAGGTTAGGTTAGGTTAGGTTAAGTTAGTTTATTATATATTTAATTTGGTTTACCCAAAAATGGGGTAACTTTTGGTACTTTACTATTTTTTACAATTTTTCAAACCTGGTTTCATGGGTAAAAACGGCATTTGCCAAAAAAGTGTTTAAAATGGACTAATAATAAAAAAAAAACCACCCTAAGTTAAAAAAGAAAATTATCAAGCCCCAAAAATCATTGATTTCTAGCATTTTTCTTGATTTTCAAACGTGATTTTCAGGGTGAAATAGGCGTTTCCCCCAAAAGTGCCAATGGTAAAAAGTGCTTAAAATAGTCTAATTTAGGTAGATAAGGCAAAAAAAATTCAATATAACATAAGTAGTATAAGTTCAGTTTTACCGGCCTACTTACTGTAGTCGATGTATTCGATACATCAATGTTTTTCTATCAATATTCTATGCTTTTTACATTGATGGTAGACTACCGGTGTTTTTGTTACATGAATATTATCACGGAAAACATACTACTATAACCCAGAATGCTGACCACGTGTTAAACAGTGTTAAGTACTCGGAGAGAGCTTTGCCTGTCAATTAGAAGGCAGCGATGTGATATTATATATTACAATTTTTCCATGGTTTTATTCTTTTTACTTTCTTGGCCCAATTTAGAAGCTATATGCTAAAGAGTTGCCGTATCCGAGTTAGTTTTGTTAGTTTTGTTTTATTGATTTAGGTTGAGAGCAGTAGCAATGATGAATGGGTAGAGAAAGAGGCTGCCCCACCATTGTCCAAGACACAACCATCCTTACCACCAAGACTTGACAATGTCTGTACAATGGACGAGTGGGCATCAAACCCTGCATTACTGGCCTGCACCTCTCGAGATCAGCTGAGGCAGGCCAGGGAGAAAAAGGACACAAAAGAGGAATATGATAAATACATGTTAGATAAGGTAGGTCCCATAAATCTTTAATGAAATAAAAAATTCTGATTACCTAATCCACTACGGTACTGCAATCAGATTAAATTTGCAGTTTTAAATCTTAAAAAGTTACTTAGGCCTAAACTATAAAACAATTCTTTTTTACTAAACTAGGTATAAGAAAAGGTAATTATGTCAATCTTCAGTCAACTCTCTAACTTTTTTTTAATCTTTTAGCCCTTTTGCTGCCGACGAGAGCAAATGCGCACGTCGGGGTTTGTGCTAAAATGGCCGACGTGCGCAATAACGCTCGTTGGCTATCGGGCGAAAATTGCCGACGTGCGTTATAAAGCACATCAATGTTTTCTAACTTACTGGCCTTATATGCTTTCCAAACCCCTCCAAATTCGACTCGGATTATTTGCAGACTATAACGAAGCTGTTTACAGACGATTTTATACGGTATGAGCCTATAACCAATGAAGTGACATAGTTTGAGTTTGCTCTTGGTCTGTGCGTTGCTGATTACTTCTCTACTATGTCTAGATCGTTTGTCATCTGTGTTTAGTTGAGTTTTGCGAATGGAAAGGTGTTTGTTATTGTTTGTGTTTACTAGTGCTATAAAAGTAATGTTGTGATGAAGGTAAGGGCATGAAAGTTTGTTTGTAATAACTTATGCATGCTCTACAAACTAAAATAATTACATTTATGCATGTGTTTGGTTAGTTTGAGTTTTAGTAAAAATGAGTAATAGACGAGTTAGGTCGCCGGTGAGTGAAAATACAATAATAAACAACCTATTGGGTGACGGTGAATGTTGACGATGGTGATGTGAGTGATAGTTTTGTAGACAATATTTCTGAGTCGAGCTCAGAACCCAGTTCAGATTCTAAAAGTGAAGGATTAGGTCCAGAATTTGAGGACGATACGGACGAAGACCCTGATTACATGGTAAATTCAGACCCCTCTGACGACTCAGAAGATGAAATCCCCCAACCTAGACATAGGCCTAGGCCTACTCCCACTGCTGATGTCCACAGTACAGTCGACGAAGTTATTGACGATGTTGTAAACAACTTCAAAATTCCAGAAGGTGATGTAATGGAAATGGAAGATGTACTTTATGCTAATCTAAATGACTCTAACGCTGATGAACATCTTGGATGGGATCCCCTTGATGAAGGTAACGATCCTGGTTTTGACCATACTTTTCCTTTTGACGAATTGCCTGGGCCAAAACATTGTCCCCCACATGATGCACCTCCAATATCGTACTTTAATTTATTTTTTACTGTAAATCTCCTGAATTCTTTTGTGCTAAGGACCAACCAGTATGCCAGGGACTAGTTATGTATATCACTGCACATATACATAACTTGACTCCAAATTCACGTGCCAGGGATTGGAAAAATGTCACCCTGCCGGAAATGAAGGCCTTCATTGCCACAATTTTAAATATGGGTCTTGTAAGAAAGCCAACTATTCAAAGCTATTGGTCGACAAAATCATCACTTCAAACACCTTGGTTTGGAAAAATGTTTGGTAGGAACAGGTTTGAGTGTCTATTGCAATTTTTCCACATAGTCGACAATAGCACTTTGGCTAAACCAGGTGATCCAAATTATGACCCCTGTGCTAAATTTAACCCCCTATTGGATCATGCAAACAGGATTTTTAGGACTTATTACACCCCTCATCGTGAGATATCAATTGACGAAAGCCTGGTTGGCACTAAGAGTCATTCGCAAATTATGCAATACCTGCCCAACAAGCACCACCATCGTTGGGGCATCAAAATGTGGATGTTGTGTGACTCTGTCTCCAGGTATTGTTTGGCTTTTTTTTGCTACAAAGGAAATAAGAACAAGAGAAAATCAACTGGCCTTGCATTCAAAGTTGTCACCAAGCTTTTAGAGATAGGTCAGTATTTGCAAAAAGGCTACCATCTCTTCCTTGACAATTTTTTTACGAGCATCCCTCTGGCGAAGCACTTTTACGAAAACCAAACCTACATGACTGGCACAATTAGGAAAAATAGAAAAGGAATACCTCCACAGTTGAAAGAAAAATTTGCTGTTGGCCAGAAGACGTATTTGCGGAAGGAGAACACGCTTTTTTTGGGATATCGAGAAAAAGCTTCTCAAAAGAAACCAGTGCTTTTACTCTCTACAAAAGCATCTGCAAAGTCAGTGGAAGTCAGAAGAAGGAAAAGACATGAAGAAAACCCAAAAGTGAGGCCTGAAATTATAGATACTTACAATATGTATATGGGGGGGATTGATGGCTCAGACCAAATGCTCTACTGTTATTTAGATGAGCGCAGAACTGTCAAGTACTGGAAGAAGGTCGTGTTTAATATATTTGGCAGGATGATTCTCAACTCGTATATCATTTACAAGGAAAATTGTTCTGGTAAATTACTGTCAAGTTTTAACTATACCAACTCCATAATTGAAGAGCTCTCTACTGATTGGCTAATGCTGAAGAACCAGCCACATGTTGCTGAGGTGGGCGGTGGCGGAGACGCTGGAGAAGCTTCTGGATTCGGCCTAGAATCTCTACCCGGAAGAATGTTAAGAAATTGTTCTGTGTGTAGCCTACAAAGTACAAGTGCAGGAGGGACCAGGAAGAGGAGCAGGACTGTTTGCAAGAGATGCAAGAAAGGGGTTCATCCAACGTGTTTCGGTGAACACAAATGCCAATGATCGGAACTTTTTCATTTGTAAATATTGTAAACATTCTTTTAAATTTATTTGTAGGCTACATAAGTTTTTTTTCCCATTATTTCAGCTCTCTAGCAATGTACATTATTGTGAATTACAAAACATTTAGGCCACTTGTGAATATATGATCATGAACAAACTCTTAGTAAAGTGTTTATACCTAAACGGGTAAACTTTTATTTGACGAAATTTTGAAAAAAAATCACAACTTCGGTTCTACAATTTTCAAGGTAAGGGCATGAAAGTTTGTTTATGTAATAACCTATGCATGCTCTACAAACTAAAATAATTACATTTATGCATGTGTTTGTTTTAGGTATAGTTTTTGTACACCAAACCTAAAAAATAAAATATAAAAAAATTTTGACCATATAAATTTATGTACAAAAATTTTTTTTTACTATAATAATTATTATATGTTTTTATGAAGACTGGTTGTTTATTAGAAACAAAACAAGGCCTTATTTATAAAATTCTGATATAAAATAAAAAAATACACAAGGTTTTGTGAAATAATGAATTTTCCTCAAATCAGGCCTGGCAGTCTTCGCATATTAGTCTTACCTTAGACCCGGCATTTTTCAAGTAACATATAAAAAACCGGTTGGCAGTAAAAGGGTTAAACTGTTAGTTTTTTAGCGCTGATTCCAAAAATGATGGTAATTTTTTGGCCACAGTAGCCTACTTGTTATTCGTAACTGGTACCATATGCTTTCTGTATGATCTATCTTCATTACATTAGGAGTCATAGGTTTATCTGTATGGTATCAAAATGTTATTGCTTGTCTATCCGGCTCAGCTAGGCCGGACTGATCGTGAGCTCAACCCGTACTGGAAGGATGGTGGCTCCGGTTTACCAGAGGAGTGTGCTGCTTCAGTAGAATCTCTGCGACAAGCGCAGGTGACTGTGGGAGACCAAGGCGCTGCTTGGCTGAAGAAGGCGTTACAGCGAGCCAAGGAGCAGGCACAGGACTCAGGCAGACCATTAGCTGAGGTGGTGGCTGAGCGGTGGGGCGTGAGTTGATACCATACTTTGAAAACTATTTAAGTTTTGGCTGAATAAAGGTTTTCCTGTATTATACTTAATTAAAACTTGACTTATTAAGTTTCTGGGGATTTACTATATTAATTTACTTAGGACTAGGGTAGGCATCCCATCTGTTGGAATCAGTAGTTGGTTCCATTTTGCCTTTTGCCTTTTTACAATACTGCTGATCTTTTTAAATTTGCTATTGTTCTGGATCAGTTGCTTTTGTACATTGTGAGAATTATGTAAACAGTTTTTATTCAGATTATTAAAAGAATTGTATTGTATCAGTAAAATATTTATTTCTTGTAGTTTATAGTAATATTAGGAAAAACATGATTTTAATAGCATCCAAGTTTATTTCCTACACCATCTTTTAATGAAGCTGTGGCCAATCTTTAATTTAATTAAACATGATGAATGAGCCACTTGCTGAGTGTGCTATTGAAACAGTTATATATTTTCTCCATTTATCATACATTGATAACTAATGTGGCATAAAGTATGCTATGGTTGATGTTATGTTATCCTTTCAGTGTAGCTTGGTTAAAAATATGAGTTGATCCCACACTTTGAAGGCTCTTTAATTTTGGCACATGAAGTTCAGGGATTTACAACTAACGAACCATGCTTAGATTAGCTTTTTATGTTTGTACTAACAGTTACCCAGCGCCCGTTGTTACGCTAACAACTATTATTTTAAATGGTAATTTGTTCTTTACGATAAATAATCAAAATGTATACCGAAAACAAAAATAGAATATTTATATTACTTAATAGCCATTGGATGAACAAAATTTTTAGTTTTTTCATTAGGTATATAAATATATAAGTTTTTAGGCGTACCTACCACCAAGTGAGCACGCAACATACAGCTGTCCGTGTGGAAAGCATGCATTTTCTAAATTTAAAATGGCAATAATCAGGGATTGCCCACGTGCCTTTTAATGGTGATTGCGAAAGCAAGACGCTAAGGAAATTGTAGTCGCTTGAATTCAAAGGGTATTTCGGATGAAATAATCGATAATCTTGGGATTAAGACTATTTCTCCTTTAAACTCACCACTGATTGTTGCTTCGATCAAGTTTGGTGTAATTTTTTAAATCGTCAGTCTGGTTTCATTGCACAGCTTGGGTAGATTTAAGTTTCACATTAGTATTATTGGAGTTCCTTCTTTTAATGACAGTAATGTAGTGGGTCATACTTTCTCATGGGTCATACATTCCTTACGTTAGACTTGCTAAGTCTGATAAAAGACCATTAATTGTAAATTTTATAACAAGTTACCAATAGCCATAAGATTACTTAGTGATAAGGATTTCAAGATTAAAATAAATAACTTTCTTTGTAATCAGCCATTATACTCAATAGAAGATTATGTCAAGAACACTGACTCCACTGGATTTTAATTAATGTTATGTTATGACTAATTTGACGTGCCAATGTATTTGTATGGAATATTAACTGGCAAATAAAATCTCATTCTCATTCTCATACATACTTCCTCTTTTATAGATATAGATATCCTCTTCCTTTCTGGATATTCTTGGGACCAGGCTTCAACCAGGTGTTTTATTGTCTTTCATTTTTCTGTGGCTCCTCTTCCTCCACCTTCTGACATGTCACTCCTCCTTTCCTCCATCACCATCAACTCATATTTTCTTGGAATTCTCTCTTCTTGTATCCATTTGACATTTTCCATCTTAATTTTTTACTATCCATTATTAATTTTAATTTTGGTAAACTTAAATAATTTACAGTTTAAAAAAATTTACAATGTGTTTTAACTTGTTTACAGTCACTAGAAAAGTTGGAGACCATGATAGCTGCTGCTGAGGAACGTGATAAAAATAAGACATCCAGCTCTAATTATCGGCCTAGATACTCTAGTAATGATCAATATAAAGATAGGAAACACAAGAGTCAACAAGATAGAGCACAGATAAAGAGCTCAAAAAAGAATTTTTCCAAACCTGGTGACAGCAGTGAAAACAGTAGTGACGAACAGAGAAATTACGGGTGTAAAAATAGTTTTGAAAGGGACAATGACAGAATAAAGTTAAGTAGATATGACAGTAAACATAAAGAATCAAATAAAAAAAGGTCAAAGAAAGTAAGCGAATCTTCAGAAAGCAGTAAGGATAGTGTAGAAGAGGATAGGTATGAATCTAAAAAATATGGGTATGACAGAAAAACAAAACATTCACTCAAAGAATTTAACAAGCCGCCTAATAGTAGTGATGAAGACAGTGATGGAAGGAGGAAGGATCAAGATAGAAATAGAGAAAAAGACTTCAACCAAAAGTTTATGAAACCACATCGAGATAGTAGTGAAGAAGATAATGGTGAAAGAAAGAAATATCGGGATAGAAATAGAGAAAAAGATTCCAACAGAAAGTTTGCAAGACCGCGTCAGGATAGTAGTGAAGAAGATAGTGATGGAAGAAGGAAATATCAAGATAGAAATAGAGCAAAAAATTCCAACAGGAAGTTTGCAAAGCCACGTCATGATAGTAGTGAAGAAGATAGTGATGGAAGAAGGAAAGATCGAGATAGAAATATAGCAAAAGATTACAATTGGAAGTTTGCAAGACCACGTCAGGATAGTAGTGAAGAAGATAGTGGTGGAAGAAGGAAAGATCGAGATAGAAATGGACCAAAAGATTCCGACAGGAAGTTTGCAAGACCGCGTCGGGATGGTAGTGAAGAAGATAGTGATGGAAGAAATAAGAACCGAGATAGAAATAAAGCTAAAGACTCCAACAGGAAATTTGCAAGACCACGTCATGATAGTAGTGAAGAAGATGATTTTAAATCAAAGTACAATCATAAATCAAGAGATTACAAATCAATGTCTTCTTCTGGCAAAGGATGGAGGAAGCAAGTGGAATCACAGAAAAAGTATCAAGAAGTTGATAAAAAAATTGGTATAGAAAGAGATAAGAAATGTGATGAGGCAACTAAAGAAATTAATGAAGACGTTACAGGTGATGTTGAAGATAACAAACATTCATTGGTAACTGATGCAGAACCAGTTTTAACTGATAAAGAACTTAATGAACTTGCTGCTAAACTAGTTAAAGCAGAACTATTAGGAAACCAAGTAAGTATATTTTTTTCTATCAAAACACAAGATGATCTTTGCATTTAAGTCTGCTTTATTTTTAGAAATAAAATTCAACCATACCACTTTATTTTATAAACGTTTTTGGCTTTTAAATCACATAAGTAGTGGAAACCGCCATTTTTGTTTGGATTAATTTTAAATTTTGTATTTGATAATATAAAAAAATCTTACCAAATTTTCCAATAAAATTAATATATTCCTAAATAATGAGGTCTAGGCCTGGGTCTTTTGATTCTTTGGAAAAGCTTTAAAATATACTAAGAAAATTGAATTGAACCTAAGATAAAAGGAAGATCCAGTTATTGTGTTTAGGCCTAGTTGGAAATAATTTACTAGTGGTTATTGAAACTATCTTATCAAATTGTTGTTTCAAACATAATATTTATTCTAAAAAATTGTTAACTTAATTTTAAACCCATCAGGGCAATGCCTTATCGTAGTAATAACATAGGTAAAGTCATATTATCTGTGTTTCTTTCTTGACACAATCCTGTTAGGAGTAAAGGTTTAATAATGTATAGACTGTAATTGTTGTTAGAAAACTATGAATGTACGATACTATCCATTTTCATACTAATGTCAATGTATTAAAATTTAAAATATTCGTTTAAATACAATTCTGAGAAGAAAATGGAAAAAATAATGGTAGCCCCGGACCGTACCGATTTTGTACCGGGGACCGAGCTACAAACTATTGTACCGTACCGACCTTAAATTTTCTGTCCCACAGATCCCTAATAAATACACTACAATAATTTAGCATCACACAGAATCAGGTAACTTTATACCATTTTAACTTTTAAATAAATGTAGGCCTAAATAATTGCATATTATTTATTTGTTGTAGTTAACTTATCAACACATTTTACAAATAAATTTTACATCTTACCAATCATTAACAAGAATTGTGACGTTTCATGTTTAAATCTGCTATCAAGATTAACATAACACACTTTTGCAAGTTTAACTCAAAAACTTGGCTAAAATCTGTACCTCACAAACCTGCACCCTAAAAATAAGCACTTAAAAATAAGTACTTGTTACCTGCAGACTAAGCAAATTGTCATCTACTATTTATATATATAATTTATATACTATTTATATTTAGAACATCTACTATTGGGCTATTGACCAGAATTGTTATAACCTCTGACCAAACATGTTTGTTATATTGAATTTTAGCCTCCTGATCACATTTAAATACTATAAACTGGTGTAAATACCTGCATTTTTGCGATCCTGTTTGTAGCTGAGTTGCTACCGGTTTCAACTCACATGGCAGTCAACTTCAGGCTGTTAACGATGTCTTCTCGCTTCATTCGAAGGTCGTCAATAGATGATAAATAAACAAACAAAACACAAACACGTACACGGACTACTGAAAACGGTAGGCATACAGAACACGACGTGATCGGGCGGGAGTTATGTCTAGATTGCCGGTCAGGATGAACGTAGTCAGTGATGACGTCGTGCCTGGATTTCCCGATCAGCTGATACTTCCATTCACAACTGTCCCTAGCTCCAGTACTATGGGGTACTAAACATGTTTGATCAATGACTGAGCGGCTGAACATGTTGTTTCTTCAACTAGGAGAGACAGCACCTTAGGTTGAGGCTTCAAATTCCATCTTGTAATTTATTAACACCAGCATTAAACTTTTCTGTATGTTTTGACTCCTGCCACCAATAGTGAATGTGTTAACCACCATTTTCTTTGCTAATTACAGACTAGTTTTATAAAACTCATTGACTCATTCAACCCATATAGTCTGATTTGTTTGGATGTTGTACTTTACATCTTGCAAAATTGATTAATTTAATTAGTTTTTAATCATTTATTTGATTTTAGAGTCTAGCAGAAGAGCTGAAAGCCAAACTATCCAAAGCAAGAGAAGCTAAGGCCAACGCACCCAAAGATTCAGGTGCGTCCAAGGAGGTTGTGATCTTGACACACACAGATTCCAAGGGCTTTACTCGACCTGTGAGTCTGTCCGAGCCCTCAGAGTCTTCAGGCGGACGACGGAGAGGCAAGAAAGTGGAGACCCACACTGGAGGCAAGAGGATGAGATATTTTGCTGATGATGATAAATACAGTCTACAAGAAATGGTATGTAACCAACCACAGTGGATAACTAACTGTTAACCTTTATTTACCTTTATTAACCTCACATAAAACACATAAAACCTGCACACCTGGGAAAATAATGTAATAGCTTTGACTATTAATACAGTATCCAATAGTCAATGGTAATCAAAATTGAAAAAGTGTAGACTACACATTAAATGCTAAAATTTCATAAACCCATCAGTTCAAAAATAGTTAACTCTGCAATTCACTTGATTGACAATCAATTTAAAAACTTATTTTTTTTATATTTCAGTAGTTTGTTTTGATTTGATACTACATTAGACCTTCATAAATCTAGCTCAGTACTTGCAAAACTGGATTGCCATAATTGCTGAATTACTGACTAGTATAGCGGAATTAATTAACACTAAAAATTATATTTCTGAAGGTACACTTTTAAAAGTAAAATAGGTTTAGTTGTAAAAAAGTTTGGGGAAAAAGTGTTTATTTTTATACTAGCGTTACCCAGTGTGCGTTGCTGCGCTTAACAACTGTTATTTTAAATGGTTTACTTTAAATGGTCCTACGGGGTCGGACCCAGAAGACCTAGGGGTTTGGTTTAATCTCTCATATTATTTCACTACAGTACTAAGTATTAGTGACTAAGTGTTAGTGATTGTGACCGAGGAAGCCTTACTTTCAAATAATGGCTTTTTAGATGGCGCTCATTAATCTTGCATTTTCTGTTATGTGACACTGCCAAAGTCTCAAACATACCATATTATTGAGATGGATTCCACTGTACTATGTCGGAATATTAGAGAATTTAATGATTGTATAAAATAGACAATTTTAAAATTAGATTGCAATGATAAAAGGATCTCTTTGTCAAACATGACTAGTTTTTAACATTCAATTTTCTATGTTGTGATTTGTATTTCCTTGTTATTCCCCTTTAGAAATAAAACTATTGCTTAGTAATTGAGTATGGTTTAATTTATTTTAATTTCAGTTCCAGAGAGAAAAACTTAACACAGTTGAAGACTCCAATGAAGTGTTCGCTAAACTAGCATCCAAGGTAAGTAATCAAATAGAAGATTACTGCAATTCATGTAAATACCGCAGCAAACCTGCAGACTAAGCAAATTGTCATTTGCCTGATTGGATTTTTACTTAAATCTATTTATATAACATTAGGTTTAAGGAGTACCTTGGTTTGCTGCGACAAGGAGGGTAATAAAGTGATTTTAGCGAATTTCCCCTAGGGAATAAGCTATTACCGTAGGTCTCATGGTAAGACCTGGACCCGGGACCGATTTACTTTTTCGTTTTAATGATCCCAGAGGCCAAAAACACCATCCGTTCAAATTCATATATATAATTCATATATATTTGTAAACCTAGCCTACATTTATTTGAACGAGTTCGCAAACCAGCATGATCAGCCTAAAAACAAAAAAATTTGCAATTTCTTTCCAAACCATTTTCTAGAGCTAAAAAAAACAATAATATAGTACAGTGAAGTGTTGTTTTGTTATGCCCCTAATAGTTACAGAGAAAATTACAACAATTTTTATTTTTAAAATTCCTATGTTATTCTTATGGAGAATAAGTAAACTGGTTTAGTTTGCTTGTTAATGGAGATATTTTGATCAAATTTGTAAAATGCATTTACTTCATACTAAACTATTAACATAAAAAAAAACACTTTCCCTCCCTGTTGCAGCAAACCTAAGTACTTGTTAAACTAATGCTATTTAAATAGGGAATATTATATTATATTATTATTATAAATATTATATATATATAAATATTATAAATCTGAAAGTTTGTGAGTTTGTGTGTATGTTTGTGTGTGTGTTTGTGTGTGTGTTTGTGTGTGTGTTTGTTGCTCAATCACGCATAAACTACTGGACGGATTGGGCTGAAATTTGGCATGATGATAGCTCACATTCCCGATTAACATTAAAGCATATTCTTATCTCAAAAATCCTTTCGGGCTCCGCCCCAGTGGCTCTGTAGTTCCCCATGTTAATCTTATGATTTTTCATATTTAAAAGGAATTAATGAATCTTAACAGCTGTTTCAATTAAACAAGTTGGTTCTGTTCTATGATGTTCAATAGCATAAAAGTTACAAGGATTACCAACAGGGTGCAGCACTATTATTTTTTTTTTAATTTATGACAACAGCTAATTTCCAACCAAAAGGTGAGTGAGCGTAGCGAACGAGCTAACCTGAAGGCAAGTGAGCGCAGCGAACGAGCTCCAACCTAAAGGTGAGTGAGCGTAGCGAACGAACTTCAACCAGGACGTGAATGAGCCATGCGAATACTTATGAAGTTAAACGGGGCGAAGCCCGCGGGTACAGCTAGTAGGGAATAAATGTGATATTTTTAAGGAGATATTATAGAGTAAATCCAATCAGGCAAATGGGAATTGGCTTAGTCTGCAGGTTTGCTGCAGCGGGGGTATTTTATTCCTCGACTGACGTTTCTACTTCTTGAATTGTTGGGTATGGGACCATTGGATCTACATTCTGGTACGCTTCCTCCTCTTCTTCTTCTTATTCAGACTGTCTTACATTCAAAAGATCTTTGAAATGTTGCTGCCATACTTGTAGTCCTTCTTTGCTCTGTACCACCAGTTGTCCTGATTTGTTTTTAATCCCATGTGGCATTGGACTGTATCCCTTTCTAAAAAATCTTATTGATTGGTAGACGTCTCTACTGTTGATTGCTGTCCTGTCCTGTTCAGCTTTCTCTAAGATTTTGTTTACCCATTCTCTCTTTTTCCTCCTAAGTATTCTTGAGAGTTTTTTTATAGTATTCTCTATCTCTTTCTTGTTTCTTATTGAGCCAGACTTCTTAAGCTTTTTTCTTTAGTGAGACATTAGCTTTACATTCTTCGTCGAACCATGGTTTTTTGTTCTTCCTTTCCCTTTTCCCATAAACCTCTTTTGCACAGTTTTGCCGAGTCTCTTCTCTTTAATGTTCTTCCAAACCTTCTCAATTCTCCTCCTCTGAGTCTTCTTGATCAAGGTTGTTTAAGCCTGGAAACGGTTAGACAGTTTGAGCTGAAAATCTTTCATTACTTTTTCTTCTCCTAGCTTTTCAAAATTGATATTTGTTGCAGTTTTCTGTTTTGTTAGTTTCTCTATCGTTAGTTTCTCTATCTTAATTCTCTGTCGTAGATTGACTAAAATAAGGTAGTGGTCTGACCCACATTCTGCGTTCCTTATGCTACATCCTTTGATGATATGACTAGAATGTCTGAGATCTATTAGAACATGATCTATTTGGTTGTTATTTTTTCTATTTGGTGATGTCCATGTGACTTTGTGTATGTCTTTTCTTGGATAAGATGTAGGGGAGAGTGGTACATACTGGGACGAAAATATTAAAACATTTTTTTCTTCAATATTAGTTGACTTAGAAGAACAATCTTTACACAAAAATAAAGCACTTTTAAAACACTTTTAATGATATTTTTTTTTCAAAATTATTAACTTATATTTAAAAGGCCAAAAACCGTTTGTCCCGCTTTATACCACTTGTCCCAACATGCACCGACCCTGGTACAAGGTGGGACAGCAATATGGTACAAAGCGGGACAGCATATGGTGCAAAGTGGGACAATAAATGGTACAATGTGGGACATCCTGTTATGCATAGGAGGTATACATAAATAAGACAGTTTCAGACAAATTAAACAAATTATTGATATATGTGACTTGTAAAAACTTATAGTACATAGTTAGTAATTAAACTAGGCTATAAGGCTCGAAATCGCTCCATCTTCTGCATGCTCCAAAAACTTCTTGCGGCAAATCTTCGGCATTATGGACCTGAAAAAAAATTTTTTTTTGTAAAATTCCACTATAATGTTCTTTAATGAATAACTATGATATGAATGAATATGTCTATATTTTAAGAGTTAAATGTAGGTCTACTTTGGCATAAAACCGACCCCGCTAAAACTGTATTTATGTTATTATTTTAAGTAGGTAAAAAAGTAGGAAGAAATTGTTTAATTGAAAATATAAGTATTAAACAGTTTAAAAATACCTAGGCCTAACGCAAAATTATGACAATAGTGGTGTTTCTGGGTAAACCGTGTTAGGGTTTACCTACTCATTACCTTCATGTTTATGGCTACCAAGAGACTTAAAAGTCTCACTCCATTATCATTGCTGTTTAAATGAAGGCTATGTGATCCTACAACCTTTTCCCATATTTGTTCTTTGCCTATTTTTGTGATAAAATCACCCATGATTATCTTAGTATCGTAACTTGGAAGTTTTCTATATTCTTCCTCCACCATTTCATAAAAATCATTTTTAATATCATCTTCCACATCTTCAGTAGGCCCATAAACTCACATTACAGATATATTTTTAAATTTACCCTTAATCCTAATAATAACCATCTTTCATCTTTGGCTTCAAAATATATCACAGCACTCTTAATCTTCCTGCTTACAGCAAAACCTACTCCTCTTTGGTAACAACCATCTTCATTGCCACTATAGTAAACAATGTAATCTTTGGTATTTAGCTTTCCTGTCAATGGCCATCTTGTTTCTATTTACTAGGTTCTTCTGATAGATCTATGGCTCCAGGTGCTGCTAGTGTTCTGACATTCCACGTACCGAGTCTCAAAGTCCTAAAGGGTAGCCAAAGTTCATTCCGTGTAATCCTGTGTCCGAGGCCTAGTGTTGGTTTTTCAGAACTTGGTGGTTTTCCGAGGTGAGTTGTTGGCCCGACGCTCAACCCCCACATGCCCCTGAAAGACCAGGTTCGGGTTCTCTGATTTTGCCTAGGCCTTCCTTATCAGTGCTAAGCCCACCGAAAAGGTGTTTCCCCCCCCCCCCCAGCATTACGGGGAGGTAACAGAGTCACCCTTGCCAATACCGTTGCTTCATCACCACTGGGGCTAGCAGTCTAGATGTAAAACAATTTTTTTTTTTTTTTTTTTTTTAACTAGGTAGCTTCAAAAACTAGAGAACATTTGGAAAATGTTATGTTTTGAGGGTAAAAATGAGAAAAAACTAATTTTTACCCCCATAAAAGGTTGTTGTGCATATCAACCCATGCTGACATTTAAGATTTTCTTCTGACCCCTAGAGCGGGGCGTCCTCTGAGGAGGTAGGGCATCAGTGAGTAATGAATTAAAATGATTTTATTTTGATGCCCAGTGACTGTTTACCTACCAAGATTCGAAGCTCTATCTTTGTAAATTTTTGAAATATTTAACCATCGTGGGACTTTTTTCGACCCTGTATGAATTTGAACAGATGGTGTTTTTGGCATCTGGGGACCTAAAAACGAAAAGGTAAATAGATCCCGGGTCTTACCATGAGACCTACGGTAGTAGTTCTCTATCAGGGAAATTATACCTAAATAAATAAGGATAATTTAATAATAAGGAAATTTAAGCTATTTACATTTTAAAATATTTTTGTTTGATAACGTTAAATGTTTATCCTATTCTACGATGCCAGCTAAAGCTGCTCTAAACAGATGCACTAGCCTTATAAAATCAAACAATACATTTACATGTATTATTCAAGTACAATGAATGTGGATTGGTGTGTATAATATCTACTACAACTAATTCAAAATCAAATACCAAAAGTCGCAAAATGAAAAATATATATCATAAACGGGTGTGTAATTGCATCACTTCTGCAAGACATAGTAATGTAAAGAAAACAATTTGCCATTTTCTTTGGTAATACTGTATGTATATTTTTAACTGATGTTGGATTAATTTATTGTGATAGTCATGTTAAAAACCTACCCCTGAATAACAATGCACTATTATGATTTTACGATAACTAAAACAGTCTCACATAATGGTTCTACAAACTGAAAACTTCTGAGATAACCTTACATGACCAACATTTTTTTAGGGAATTGGACGTGACGACTCGGCTAGAGACATGGAAGATGTATTTGAGGAGACAGCCAGAGTTGAAGAAGGAGAGGCCCAACAGAAGTCGAGGGAGAGAAACAAGGCAATAGAACAGAGCAGGCGCACAGCCAAGACACTGGAGAACTGTCAATGGTGTCTGGACAGTCGGCAAATGCTGAAGCACCTCATAGTGGCCATTGGTTCAACGGTGAGTGGGAGAGTTGTGTAGCCTACTCAATCCTCCTTGCGAACCATTGAGCACAAAAAAATCACTTACTATTGGACATTAGTATAATTAATTGTACAAGGCCTACTTTCAAACAACCTCTTTGCAATCCCTGTCTTGATTTGGAAAATTTTTAGTGCCAAGGGCTCTACACGAAAGTGGGAGATATTCACGATTTTGCTGCGATCTCAGATTCTGCCTTCTTTAATAACGATTCTTATACTTATAGGTACCGTAGTTGTAGTTTTTTATTTATTTTTTTTTTTTATTCCTATATGTGATTGAATGGTTGGAGTTCTACAGTTTGTCATTAATTTAATGATTTTCATGTGGTATGGTAAATCAATTACATTTCTGCTCAGAGATGTGCATTTTTTATAGTAATTACTGTGTTGTGAGTTACAGTGCTACTTGTGTGTGCCTCCATACCAGAGTTTGACAGATAATCACTGTTTAATAGTTCCCCGCACACACACTCCTTGTGCCACTCAGCTAGATGAAGACGTGTGGACGGAAATTCAGGTATGCCAACCTCATAATAAACTATCTCTGCAGATATAGTAACCTCACAACAAACTATCTAATTATTAACTCCCTCATTCACTGAATTAAGGAGTCATTTAGACTAAGGTACATTAAAGCCTCTCTTAACTGTCACCCATAGGACCAGGTCTGTGATGATAAACTGAGTAGACATATGGTAACAATTCTTTTTAAAACTATTACAGCCTGGGACGGTGGCATCGTTCTGTAACCCAGCTACTAGGAGGTCATGAACTGTGGATATTTATAGGCATGCACTGTGGATGCAATGCTCCCTGGTGTGGATTAACGTCCGCATTAGTGAGTACTACGACTATCCTCAATACTATTCTGATAATAAGACCAATTTGATAATTACAAGGAAAAAATCTGGTTCGGTTTCCACCATAAACTGTAGGTCCCTTAGTTGCCATTGGCTGTATGGGCTATTAATTAACAGCTGTGTCTAAGGAACATGTCAGCCTAAATCACTAACAAGACTACAAGATCGGGCCACTCATCCTACCCTCATCCTTCACTCATATTTGGGATAAAATACGCACATAGTGGCGTCCCCATCTCAAATAATTGATTAATAAAAAATTACAGTTGGAAAGATATAAAACAGTAGACATGTGAATTGAAGATGGTACCATTTTACAGTAAATATAGCTTAATACACATTTTTGAGGTGACGGATAGAAGAGATTTGACGGTTTAAAGAGTGACAGTTACTTCATTGTATATTGTAAAATATATCCACTTTATGTAAAAATTATCCATTTCACCTCTTTGTTCCAGGACTTTCGCAAGGCACTGGTTCAGATGTTCCTCACACTGGATGAAGATGTTGTTTTCTTCGAGAGTGCTCGTCGACTTAACCAGTTTCCTCACATGGTCCTCAACTGCGTTCCTGTTCCAAAAGAGACAGGAGACATGGCACCTATATATTTTAAGGTCAATATTGCTATATTTTTAGTCAGTGACGGTAGCTTTTTAAAATCCACGTAGGGTGTCCAGCACATTGCGAAACTGGGACAACCTGGAATTGAATGTGAATTTTGATGTTTGGAAAAAAGTGTGCTTCTCTTTTAGTGGTCACAAAATCAGATTCTTATACCATCATCGATATTTGGAAAGTACGCCTTGGTCTAGGGAATACAGTACATTTGTTTTTGTAGAATTTCTTCTTAAAGTGTATAAGGGAAATCTCTCTTATCACATTAATAGAATAGTTCGATAGCTGATCGGGTATATTGTTTACCCATTTCTCAAAATCTGCACACCTCAAGCGATCAAAATATTAACTTATGTTTCTCAGTGAAGAGAAGTAAAAAACACAGCGATGTCATTTAGGTGTCAGCGTTGTATGAATCCTTTAAATGTAATCTAACTTGATGTAGTATATGGTTTAACATTTTCAGACCCAATTTACTTTTCAGCAGGCCCACTCAAGCAACGCTACTTCCTAGGCTCGTGGCTCTTCAACACCCTTGCTTTTATGTAAAGTTTTTCATTTATATTATAATTACAGAAAGCCATCCAAGAGTGTGAGCAGGAATGGTCCAACAACAAGAAGCTGGTAGATCTGAAGGGCAGAGATGTACGCAGAGCTGTTCCTAAAGGCCTACCTTACTTTGCTGTAGACTTTGGACTAGACAGTGGATACGCCCATGTTATTGAAGATGAACAGCTCTTTCCTCTCAACTTTGCTCAGGTCGGTTTTCAAACAAATGATTATATTAAAGTTAAATTCAACATCATATTGGCAGGTTTCTTGGTTATATTGCTCACCTAGTATTCAGAAGGTGGTCACTTGATCCTGAGAAATGTGAGTAGCTTTTAGCGAATTTCCCATATAGGGAATAAGCTATTACCGTAGTACTCATGGTAAGACCTGGACCTGGGACCGATTTAATTTTTTGTTTTGAGGTCCCTAGAGGCCAAAAACACCATCTGTTCAAATTCATATATATAGTTATCGCGCTCATATATACATATATATATGAGGTTAGCGCGATAACTCGATAAAAAATATGTAATCAGTGAGTTCGCAAACCAGTATAATCGGACCATGGGAACAGAGGTTTATGGGGGGTTTTATGGGGTAAAAATGGGGTTTTCCCATTTTTGACCCTGAAAACAAAAAGAAAAATTGCAATTTCTTTTTAAACCGTTAAGTAGAGCTTAAGGGTAAAGTTCACAAAATGGGACAAAAGCGAAAAAAACAAAAAAAACTAATACTATCTCAATTGCAAATATTATATACTAAAATTATAGATTATTTTGTCAACAATAAGATAAAGGCCGCAGCAAAGCTGAATTCCAACTCAAAATAATTATTTTAAATTTTTTCCAATAGGCTACTCACTGAAAAGTACAAGTCGTTCACTCCCATAAAACAGCAAATAAAGAGTACTTGACTATGAACTATTGTACATTTTTTATTGTTTAACATAAATAATACTATGAATAAATACATTAACAGAAAAAACTGTGTTTTTTTTACTCCACAATCACGAATTATTCACAAACTAACCCTTATTTCTAGGTTAAGTTAGTTTTTAAAAGATAAACTTTCATATTAAATCAAAAGGCCTTTATTAAAATGAACAATATATATTTTGTTTAGTTGTATGTGATTGCGCAACTATAATGTACCCAAAGAATATATTTTATACTAAACCCAAAATGAAATATCTCACCTTTTATTGCCGTGAACGACTTGGTGATGCCCGCTAACGACTGGTAAAAACGACTTGTCGACGGCAACGACTTGTTGCCGACGAGACTTCTGTCTTAACTTAAGCTGTAGGCCCCTTCTGTACGGGCGTTTTTGTCCCGCCGATATCACGCCGTTACTCTAGTTTGATACAGCGACTACGAAATTCATGTATACTATCAGAAGTCGTAATCGCAATTTTAAACGGTGCAAGAAAAATGGGTGTAGAAAGGCATTAAGAAAGATCGCATTTGCTGAAAGGTGATAAATAAACAAATCATTATTGCATTAACAGTATGCCTTCTTTATTATTATAGCTTATAAAGATAAAGATACATAGAAAAACAAAACTCAAAAGTCAAATGCTCAGTCTTTTAAAAATAATAATGTCATCCTTAAGAAAACCTTCAGTCTTATTTTAGTCTTTGACATGTTTTATTAAGACTAGTTTGTTTGTTTTACCTTAAATAATAGTTATATTAAAAAAAAGAAAGCAAAGATCTAACTTGAAAAATGGGATGCTCAGATTGTTCTTACAAATATACTACGAAGAACAAATCTCAAGTAGACCTATAACTAAAAGTAAAATTAAGATCGTGAAAAGGTCTACAGTCTTCTTTCAGCTTGGACAAAATGCCTACTTGAAAAATAAACAGGTCAACCTCTTTTACAGTGCCACTACTAAATAGGCTACAACACACAAATTAATATAAAACTAACATCATAATTCATAAAGTTCGTTAGTGCACATATCAATCAGGTAAAAAAAGAAAGGTTCTACAATTCGATTTTACTGAATTAGTAAAATACCCTACACTCCTTAAAAATAGAATCAAGATCGTAACAAAGGTGTACAACTGTCTTCTTTTAGCTTGGGCAAAATGCCTAGACTTGAATAAAAAACAGGTTCAACCTCTTTTACAGTGACACTACCAAATAGGCTACAACACACAAATTAATAGAATTGCAGTATGATAAAACTAACATCAATAACTCATAAAATTCGGTAGTACACATATCAATCAGGTAAAAAAAGGAAGGTTCTACAATTACATTTTTCTGAATTTGTAAAATAACCTAGACCCCTTAGCTGTGATAACTGGTGGGGGGAGGACTGCCTTAACTTGATCAAAAGTAACAAAAGCTACATCTTTGTCATTAACAAAAAATAAATCGTCACATTTATCACATTCTTTAAGATACATGACTTCGATTTCATTTTCTGCCACACTCTGGCAGATTCCAAGATACTGTTCTGGTTTGGATTCTTTTTGTTTTGCCTACTTTGTACTCGACAACCACATAGTCCCCGGAGACGACGTGAATACAACTTTCCCTTTCAACTTTTCCTCCAAATCGTCTTACTAAATCTTCAGTTTGCATTTGGGGCTGGACGATCGGTATTGCCGGTGGGTCTTCTTCGTCATCTTCTGTAGAAGTATACACTTCGTCTACAGAAAGTTTCCGTGTACCGATACTACTTGGAACTGGATCTTCTACTTCCACAACAGGGGAAGGGCCCATTTCTCTGAAATGGTAGTGTTTGCATTTCATGCCGAGAGAGCACTTAAAGCAAGATAATGTGCGGGCAAATGTTGTTGGCTTGCAATATGTAATCTGGTGTACCTGCATGATTCCCTTCATAGGAGGTAGCTTGAGGGATGAAACTTTTGTCTTCATTTTTTCAACCTCTGTGGATGGAATTTCATGAAGAGTGAGTGATATTATAATCTTTCAATGCGTTTACAAAGTCGTTGGCGCAAGTAATGTCGTGCCCCTTCAGTACTTTATTGTCCGCTCCTCTCTTTAAGGTTCCGCCTACGCCATCCATCGGGCCCTTCCCGTGCCCGGCTTCCGTGTAGTTCCAAGACAGAAATTTAACTTTTGGGAAATATCCGGGAACAATTGTTTTGAATAGATGGATATTTGTCCTGTTGCGGTATTGACTGGACGGGCTATCAGAGAAGACATTTATTTCAGTAGTATCAGGAAATTCTTTGGACGATTCTTCGAGAATCGGCTTTAGGTGCGCCCATACAGCATGGGCCTGATGGTCCAGGTTGTCTGACACGGATGCGAAACACTTTGTCTGAATGCTGCCATCAACCAGAGCGTATCTGACTCCATTGTTCAAAGATAGTTGCCGTTTGGATGCACCGAAATGGATCGATTGCACTTCTTTCTTGAATTTGGCCACGTAATTTTCAGAAAAATCTATTCGGAAAATGAGTTCTCCCTCTTTAACATTTTCAATAGTCTCTTTTACTGCTGAAGCTTGGTGTTGATAGTAGAATACGTGCTTTTTGAAAAGCTGGAGTTCAGTTTTAAGTATAGCTTTCATTTGTGACACAGTTTTGGTTTTTTTGCATTTAATAGTTTTTTTGATCATCCTTTTCTTGTTTTTAATAGTTTTTTCTTCGGTAATAGTTACCCATTTATGGTATTTCAGCTTAAAATCTTCCTCGTTGTAAAATTTAATTTCATTATCTGAACATTTTTTGCACCTGTTCAACATGCAATGTTCATTATCTGTTGAACAAACGACAGCACTGACAGGTTCCCTTGGACTACGTTCCTTAATTACCTTGTGTTGCTTAAGAGCACTGATTAAAAACTCCATATTAGAGTGCTTCACGCACGCGCATGTCTCCCTGTCCGAAGCCTTTGGGAATGTTACCCAGAAAGGCCTGGCTCTTAGAAATGAGGTCCTTGAAATTTGAACTCCGGTTTCAACCATAAATTGTTTGTGAAGATTTTCAAGGGTGTCAAGCAAAATCCTCCTTTGTTTTTTTACTGATCCCTTTCTCACATAATCCCTTTTTCCAGGACACATTTTGCTGAACCTGTCATCTTCGTAAAAGTTTTGCAAAGTCACAGACATTTTTCTGCGAACACCATCTTTTTCCTTTCGTTGATATTCGAAGGATGAACTGGCAGTTTGTGAAAGAACTTTATTTGCCTTATAGGGAATGACACTTTTAAAATGTGACTGCAGTCTGTATTTTTTTATCACTTGATTGCCAATCACCTTACGCAATATTTGAGTCTTCTCTTTAGACCCTTTGATTGTCTTTGCTTTTGTTTCCAATTGCTTTTGTAATGTCAAGCCTATGAATAGCTGTTTTTTAACATGGGGGGATATTCTTTCAGATCCCACAATTTCTTTCAACTGCTTTCTGGGTGATGGTGATGTTGATGCGTTAATTTTTTTCTCTTTCCTTTGTAATCTTTTCTTATATTTTGCGAGTTTCTTTTCTAATTCATGTATTTTTTCCTGTTGTTTTTTTACGGTTCTATAAACCTTCGCTTTATCTCTGCGGACTTTCTTTCGTCCTCTTTTACTTGGCAGTCAGGGGATGTCGGCGGAGTTTGATCAAGTGCATTTTCTAAAGCTTTTTTTTTCTCGGCCCTCACTTTGTTTCTTTTCCTCCAATACTTCCGCATTTTACGCTGCTCACGTGGTGTCATGTCATAAATTTTTTTTATTTTCTTCTCTCTTCTCAGTCGTGCCATCCGCTCTCGGTCATACTTTCGTTTCTTCTCTCGATTCTCTTCATTTTCCAATCTTTTCAACGCTCTTTTCCTTGCCAACTCCTTTTCTCTTTCATACTTTTCCTTTGCCGTTAGGTTGAGCGCGCGGCCCATGTTAAAACCAGTTTCTGAAACAAGTAAACAAAAGGAGTGGCCAATGCCCAATGTTTATGATCAGGATCTTAAAAACACTTTTTTTTATATATTGATGCTTAAGAGTCTTTAGGTCTTTGTTTGAAAAGCACCGTAAAACACTACTTTATTGTATAAAAACCTGCATTTTTTATATAATTAGGCTACATAGTAATTACAAATTTTCTTTAAGTTTAACAACTAGATAACATGCAAACATTACAAGTCGTTAGCGTTATTCCTAACAAAGTAACTAATGTTTGCTATAAAACCCCGTTTTTATACTCTAAATATAGTTTTATAACAAATATACTATTGGTACATCAAAATTGAGATGAACAAATGTAATTGTAATAACACCCTGGCAATTTTTTGGCAGTAAACCGTATTTATTGTACCAAGTCGTCATCGATGTATCACAATAATGAGCTACACTAACCCAAAAACTGGTATTTTTTACTTAAAAACTATTTTTTACACAGTTAAAATAATCGTACAAAATATTAAAAAGTTTATTTTAAGTTTTAATCCATTTTTAAACAACGTTATGGTTGAAAAACATGTCAAAATAACAAGTCGTTATCGAAATACCCGATCGTTATCGGTAACGACTTGTAACGAAACGACTTGTAAATTTTAGACTCTTCTTAATATAGCAGCTTTAAAAAGCGAGGAACACTGGCGCTAGTTTGAGGTTATGTATGAAACGCTTAACCACATTGCGAGATATGTTTACTTTCTTGGTTGACATTTAAACGATTGAAATAATAAGCGATACGACTTGTAATGCAATTAAGGTACGGTTGATTACTTACCTGTTTATTTCTTTAATTGAGTAAATCTTGAACACAAAACTGAAAATGAAACTTAGAAAACACTCACGCATCAAATAGACTGCGATAACTGACTGTGCGGTGGCTCCCCGTACTGCTCACTACTTCGATTTGGCGCGTTTTCATTTCGGTGGTCTGTGACTTGTACTTTTAGAGGACCGCGGTTCTAATGTTCAGAACTTCGGTTTTTTTTCTCCATTGCCTACAGCTGTATACTGCCGTTAATAGTATCTCTTTCTGCTAGGACAGTCTTGTTTTGGTTTTGTAAGAACGTAGTTGTAAGGTTGTTTTTCGTAAAGGAACATAGGGAAAGGGTGGGGAGGACCGTGAACGACTTGGTGAAAATCTCTTTATTTGATTTACTACGCAACTAAAATTCAATTATATATATTTTTTAATAGTGTAATTGTAAGAACGGAAGGAAATGAAATAAAACACCATTTTAAAGTTTTTATAAATATTTTATTAATGCTGAAAGTATTCTGGGACTGCATTTGTCCCATTTTGTGAACTTGACCCTTAAAGAAAAGAAATAATTTAGTATATTGAAGCGCTGTTGTATGCCTAACGGTCACAGAGAAAATTCAAAAATAGTGTAATTTAAAATTCCTATGTTATTCTTATGGAGAAAATGAAAACTGTTGTAGTTTACTTGTTTATGGATACATATTGATAAAATTTGGCAAATTTATTCATTTCATCCTATACTATTGACGTATGGTAAAAAAAAACACTTTTTACCTTCCCCGTAGCAGCAAACCTAAGCACTCATTAAATCTAATGTTATTCAAATTGGGAATAAATATGTCTTATAGAAATATTTTAGTAAAAATGTAATCAGACAAGTTGAAATTCACTTAGTCTGTAGGTTTTTTGCGGCAGGGTGTTTGATGGTTTGAAACAGGGCTGAGCTTACTTTGAGTAAATGGCCCTGGCTAAGATACAGCTAGTCTTAGTTGGTAGAAGCTTTGACTATTGATATAACTATCCATACAGCTTCAGTATCCCATAGTCAATGGTAAAAGTTATACAGATCAAAGCTACACAGATCATCTTCTCACTCCATTCCACACTCACTCTTCAATCAATTTCAGCTTGAATAAGCACCACAGTGTGTGTCGTTGTCTTAAAGAATTGGATTGAATTATTTATTGTTTTGCCCTGAAGGGAGATATTGCAATTAATTATAGTTTGACATTGGCAACTGTCACTGTCAACAAAAATAAACAGAACCGAACCAGTTGGATTCCTATTTCAAAAAGAAAACCAAAATATGCTGTGTTTATAACCAATCTTTGAGGGGTTTCAATTTATCATCTTGATATATAGGTTGAATTAATAACATATATTTTAATGAATTTTGTTCTTTCAGGAAATCATTGGTGGAATGCTAGACCTTGATCATTCAAAGTGGAGAAAACAAAGACGGCAAACCTTCGAGGAACAGAGTAAGAAAGTAATTCAGCTCAGTAAGCTTTGGAGCCCTTTCGACATTACAAAGAAAAAGTGAATTGGAAGTGAAGACTACTTGGTACGATAATGGTTTTCTTTACTTAATAGTATCATTGTGATGGTATTGAAAATTCCAATTGATTCCTTGCCATCCAAATAATGCAATTGTTTGAATGATCTGTTGATCCGTGTTATATTTTAGCTTGATTTTTCTCGTGACCAATTCTTACAGACAACAGGTCAAGAGTCCTCATTTGCTGGATTCAAACCAATATTACTCAAGTTAAAAATGGATGTAATATGGTATAAAAACATTTGTTTACAACCAGGGTTAATAATACATTGTATCAAAAGGAGAAAACATGTTTTGGATGTGTTGCTGTTGCTAGTGTTGTGGTTAGTGTGAGATTTAGTGCAAGAGATACAAGTTCAATTAGCTTCTTTTCCAAACAGAGTTAAAGGGGTTTAGACCACTTTCCCTTAAAAAGTAACTATCTTTGTGATTAACAAGATAGTTAATCACAAAGATAAGGCTTTCATTCAATAAGCCGGTGATGTAGACTTTTAACAAAAAAAATTACTAGGCCTGTTTTATCCTTATTCTGTTTCGATTTGTGTTTATTTTCTGTATATATGTCTTTATATGAAATGTATTAAATGTTTACTTTTTACAATGTAATGTTTTTTTGCAGCTTTACCATGTTTTAACTTCCGATAGCAATTAATTAGAGGTTCTAAGGGATTATAAAATTGGAGGAGGATAGTTGAAAACTTACTTTTGTGTAATATTGATGAAAACTTATATTTTGAAGTACAATTCACTCTGTCTTAATATAAAAAAAGGTTCTATACAGTTTTGACACAAGGCTTACATGGCTAATGTTAGTTAAATGTAGATAAGACAAATATATACATTGTACATGATTAAACGTTAAAACGCAAAAGGGTAAAATTGTTGTAGACCTACACAAGACTAATGAGAATATCAACATTTATTTTTTTGTACAGCTTCAAATAATAACCCTGAATCCAAAAATTATAATAAGTACTTTTCAGATTCAAAAAACACACAGCACATTATTTTACAAAATTTTTCTGTTTTCTATACTCTTTTAGGATTTGTTCTTTTTAAGTAAATAACAATAATAATTTTTGGATTCATACCTCTAGGTAATTATAAAGAATTTTGAGGAAAGACATTTTAAAATGTGTTATAACATAACTTTTGAATGTGCTAATATGCACTTTAGGACAGTGTTAGTATTTCTATCTACAAGGAATTAGTGATGACTTCTTTAGATATCATACTTCAACCCGAAATTGGCACAATACATAATATACAATTCAAATGTTTGTCAACCAAAAATAGCATTGATACTTATCATGTTTCCTTTGTAAGTATGGTAATTGTAATGTAATAGCAATAAAAGTTATAAAATTAACATAAACGGTAACATAGTGAAATAAGGACATAAAACGCATATATAATTAAGCACCATTTAAATAAATATTTGAATCGCAGATACATCTGTATCTCTAGACAGTTCACAAACCTTGCCAGATCATAAAAGCAAATGTAAGAAAGAGATATTTGTTCAAAGTTTCTCTAAAACTAATGATAATCAAATTAACTGGCCATTTGATAACTAATATTGAAATATTTATATGTTACTGAAAGCTATAAATCTGGTTTCGTAAATCATATCTTTACTAGTGAGTCTTTTCAAAACTTTTCTCAACGTCAAACCTTCATTTGTTACTAATCAATATTTTTAATCGCCATAACAAAAACAATTCCTAAAAAGTGAAAATTACTTTGAAACATAAGTATAACAAAAGACATATTCCATTTACGTGTTTTGTTCAACATGTGTACATTGTTTTACTTCTTGCAGTGGAAAACTCTTTCATTTTAAACCAAATTAACTTTATGATTCTCCCATTACTGATAGCTTTACCAAAGATATTTATCACAATATATGTGCATTGTTGTTTGGATAAATTAATCTTTAACAAATTTCAATGTAAACACAATACTTTAATTTAAAGACCTGCAATTTTGGTTTATTTTTGACTGGCAATTTTATGTATGTAATTATTTATATATTCTACCCAAATAGAACGAGACTATACTCATATCCAACTCCTTTATAAATCGTGGTCAAAAGATTTTTTGAAGACAAATCAAAAATCTTTTTTGCATTTTCCTATTGTTCAAAGTAACAATCACATTTAAGTTGTTACAATTTCATTTTGTAACATCTATGGTACAGTTTCCTGTGGCTTTTTCTTGCACTGTAGGTTGGCGAACCTGTCTGTGATGGCTGTCAGGTAGTTGGTCACGTAGTTGTGAGGTAGTGACAGTGGGAGGGTGTAACATGGCTTGGGGGTGGGAGAGAGTATCGCTTCCTCCACCACCTCTAGAGCACTGTCAGGTACTACGTGGACACTGCACTTGAGGTACCTCTCCAGCGAAGTAGCCTCTGCGTCTTGGTTCCTGTGAATGTGTCAAGTTTAGTATATTTTGATCGTCAGGGTAAAGAGAATAAATAATTGTAGGAATAAAAATAGACGGTGTTAAATAAATTTGTGTTTAATTTTAATTTGTTTGAAATGGGCAGTAAGTCTGAGAGGAAACTATTTTTTTTTTATTTTGTGTAAAGGAAAAACTTGAAACTAATGCTTAGGCAGAAAAATACAAAAATATTACTGGCAGGACTCAACTTATTAGATAGCCAAGAAGCTTTCAAAGAGCCAAAAATCCTCACTTTTCATCATTCTACGTCCATAAATCAACCCTCTGTGATGAATATACCCACCAGCAAAAACTAAGGGAATCTTCGTCAAAATCAAAGAACACAACTGAAAAAAAAACCCCACTCCTGAGCTTAGAAGCCAAAGTATCATAAAGAAACTACTCTCTTTTTATAATCCTCCCAGATACATTAAAAGCTATCCAATACCTTATCCTTGTTACAAAACCTTTCTCCCCAACAATTATTTTTTACAAATATAGCCAAAATGCAAGTATTATTGCAAACACACTGATACATTGTACTATTCCCAATTAAAATGTGAATTTATATTATTACCAATAGATACAGTAAACACTAAACTTATAGACTTGATGTAAACTTACATTACTCTTAGCCGAAGGAAGAGTCTGTCACTAGTAGAGTCTGTGTTGAGCGTAATGACTCTGACACCTAGGGGACCAAGCTCCGCTCGTAGAGAGGCGGCTGCCCCCGCCACAGCTTGTCTAGTTGCAGAGTACGCCACCAGGCCACCTACAGCACCAGTGTCAGCTCCAGCACCTATGTTGATCAGCCTCCCTGCAAAAACAACATGATGTCTTAGAAATGAATGTAGACTGTACTCAGTCAAACAACCCAAAGAAGGCACTTTTGTGCGATTCAATATGACAGAGGAAAGGGTCGATTAGGGTTGAAAGTAAGCTTTGAGACTTAACCTTCTCACATCCCTGAGAGAAACTCTGTCTGCTACTAAGTCGATAGTGTCAGGTAAGTGGTAGAGTATAAGGAAGACCCAATATTTACTTCCAGGGTTCCAGGATAGTATAGCATTTTTAACCGTATTTGCATCTGTGAAGTGCCTTCTTAGGGTTGTTTGACTGTAGCATATTCCCAACTATCTTCTTTTCAATAAAAAATGTATTACAGTTGGCTTATTTAGATTAGATGTTTACTTTAGTACCTATCATAAATCAATGGTTATGAACACCATAATTTGCTACTAAAAGAAACATCATGTTTGGAGATATCTGTTTTTCCTCTTGAAATGTACACATATTTAAATCATCTATAGTTTTGGTAATGTGGAAAAGACACTGATGGTTCTAATTGAGAATATTATTCTGGTGCCGGTCTCCTAACTAATTAATGTTGTAAATATTCCCATAACCAAAGCCTTTTACTTCCCATCATGTGAATGCAGTTACATAATGGTATTCTGCTTCCAGTTAATTAACATAGACTAAATTTGGTTTCAGATTTAGTAATATGGGATTTAAAAAAAAGGGTGGTTATCTATTATTTGTAATTTTTTTAACTAAGCTAAAACCAGGTTCACTTATAAAATGTGTTTGTTTGTTATTGTAGTAGTGAATCAGTGAATGGTTTTTCTACAAACACCAAATGTTGTACAGGCAATGTTATAAAATCTCTGTAATTTTAAATTAGGTATTGATCCAAGACAAAAAATCAAAAATCTTCAATATATCTTAATTGTGATTCAAACACATTAGATTTAATTGAGGCCCCTGCCCTTAAAGGTTTATTGAAAACTATTTTTGGGAATGTTTCACATCCACATCATGACCTTTCATTTAAGTATGCGATTGATAGGTGTGCGGCTAACGGTTTTCTCAAAAGTAATACTCTCAAACTATAGGAAAATGTAAGACACACAACATGAGTGAGTAGTTTCGAAGCTCTGGATCAACTCATGGTTGAATACTTTCCTTGAAATTAGGAAGGATTACTACTTGAAAGGATCATGAGTTCTGCTAGCACATCAAATTCCAACACTGATGTTGGAGCCTACGTATGAAGAAAAAGTTCCAATTTAATTGTGTATTTGTTGCTGTTTAAACATTTAAGGGAAAGAACAGTAATGTGGCAGTGAGTTCAATAAAAAAAAATCAGGAGATGAATAATCTTGTGAGATTTATCTCTTTCATCAAGAAACCCTCACCTTGCTTGTTTCTGAGCAGTGCGAGGAAGGCGCGAGCGGTGCGCAGTGTGCCGATGACGTTGACTTTGAGCATAGCATCCCAGTGGCAACTGTCTTGCTGGTCTAGCCTTCCCTTGTAGCACACCCCGGCTGTGTTGATCACGGCCCACAAACCTGTAGAAAATCACATGTGTAACCATTGTTTTGTGATGTACGAAAGCTAACTTTGATTAAGTCATTTCAATCCAAGCCCCTCGGTTTTTTTATATTGATGATACATAGTTATTTATGTACTGGTTCTTTCTCATCCATTGGAGGTTTCATTGTAGAGAAATCAAACTTGTCTTTGGCTCATTGGGGGCTCCGCCCACAGGCCCGTGGGTTATTATATTACTTACAAATTCCTTGGCAAATTTCAAGTCTCTAGCACATTTCTAACCAGTTAATATCAGTATACCAAAGTAAGCCACTTTCGAGCTTATTCCCCATCAAAATAACATAGGGGGAGCATTCAAAACTTCTGGGGGGGGGGGGGGGGTGAAAAGCCAAGACCAAGAAGCAAAGACAAATAAAAATAACTTAGGATTAAAAGATTTTTTTATCGTTGAAACTTTGGTGTAACAATCCTGCTACATGTCAAGTATTTTGCCTGTCTATAATAATTTAGTGATTTAGTCCAATACATATGAAGATTATTATAGAGAATTATTGGGGGATACATTTTTGGAAAAGGCGTTAAATTTAGTACCGTATAGGCCTATATATATATATTTTAAAGTATTCCTTGGTTATAACCGAAGACTAATAATTTGAAAGATATCAAGTCCTAAGCACAATGAAAGTTGTTAAAGAATTGTTGAGGGAATGTTCTATAATTTGTTAATATTTGATAATGCAAATTTCTTAAATATTTAGGGTATTACGCCATCGTACTAGATGTCAAGTATCTAGCTCGTGAGCTATTGATATTGTAGGGTTACTTTTTTTGAAAATCCATATTTTTGGTGTGTCTGAATGAGTGACAGTAGACCATTGTAGGTAGTGCAGTTTTGAAAATCAATAATCAATAAAAATTTAAATTTTATTGAGGGAATGACATTTTTAAATTTTACTTTTGGGAGTTTTCCTTCAGAGTTGAGAGAATTTAAAGTATAAATATATGTCCAAAGACTAATTAATTTAAATAATTAAAAAACTAGTCAAAAATCCAAGAAATTTAAAAAATCTAAGAAGTAGGACTTTTTGGGTTGAATAATGGGTGCAATTTCGGGAAAAAATATAGTAGTAAATTTTATTTCTGACTGTGGAAATTCTTTCAGTTCTTTGCTTGATCTTACCGTTTTTTAGCTATAGCCATTTTAAGAAAAAGCGTCCTCTCAACAATTGGTGTTTTCAAAAATCTTTTTAAGGGAGTTAAAATCTGAAAATGTAAGATTTTTATGTTTCTATGTGGTTAAGGACAAGACGGACCTCCACAAAAAATGTGAAGTCTCTACCTTGTTTTTAAATGGTTTCTCGTCCCGATTCCAAAAGTCAGAAACTCGCAATGTTATTTCCCATAAGAATAACATGGGGATTCTTAAATTTAGGGGAGGCGGGTTATTATTGGAAAATGTTACTTTAAAGAATTTTCTAGGTTGTTTCCGTTTGAGGTTTGATTGTAAGGGAATCAAATTAAAATCGTGTAAAGTAAAATTTTGGGAAATGCCATGCCATTAAATTTTGGTTACACGTAGTTACAGGTTTATTTTTAAAATGGAATTTTATCATTGACCGTTTTACTTTTTTACAGCTAACAATAACCAAATCTCACCATACCCTAATGAAATGAAATACAAACACTTTTTAGAAAAACACTTTCAGATACCATAGTGTAACTTAATTACTCCCTGGTATAATGAAAGGATAGAGATTATCTCATAGATAAACTGAGTAGAATTAACAAAGGGATCCCTGAGGTGTAAATCCGCCGAAAGTAAGGTCCGAATGACTGAGAAATCCTTTATTGAAAGTACAACACTGTTGCGCAGTTTTCAGATAGTCAGTGATGTTGCGGCGGTGACGTAACAGCTATATTCAACGAGAGCATTTACCAACATATATCTCTGTGGGAATTTAATGTCACCGTGGTTGGTTGCACTGTTGCACAACTAACATGGCAGGAGACACCAACTGCCAACTGTCCGGCAATAACTTTCCCCGTGTGATTGAATCTGTCCACCGTGTAATTGAGATTCGGTTCCTTATAGTCCCGAGGAAAGCCGGAACGGACTGGGACAATGTCGCCTTCCTCTCCAGAAGATAATTACATTTTAGATAGTGTAATGAAATTGCGGTAACGTTGTACAAAATGTAATGAACTTGTGTGTGTTGAGAGTTATAAAGATGTAAAGCTGTGCATAGAACTTTCAAACTTTGTAAAGTCTTAATTGAATGAATGCTATATAGAATTTTTACTAGCTGTAACATTTTCAATATTTCACCCCCCCCCCCCATTCAGTGTCTAAATACAGTCTGCCAACAAAGGGTAGATTTTCTATAAACAAGAAATAGTGTCATGTTTCGTTTGGTATGACCATTTCGATTCTTCGAATATTTTTGGATGACTTTTAAATTAAGAGAAAATTTAATATGTTAGTGTTAGTGTTCTGACTCAAAATAACTACGGTTGGATATTTTGATCTTATAAACATGTCCTCTTGCTCTTATTATCCTACTAATATTATAAATGAGAAAGTTTGGATGTATGGATGTATGTTTGTGACAAGTGAACGCGAAAAATACTGGTCGGATTGGGCTGAAATTTGGCATGATGATAGCTCACATTCCCGATTAACATATAGGCATATTCTTATTTCAAAAATCCTTTCGGGCTCCGCCCCAGTGGCTCTGGAGTTTCCCATGTTAACCTTATGAGAAATGGAATTATTGAATCTTAACAGCTGTTTCAATTAAACAAGTTGGTTCTGTTCTATGATGTTCAATAGCATTAAAGTTACAAGGATTAACAACAGGATGCCACACTATTATTTCTTTTACATTTATGACAACAGCTGCAACCAAAAGGTGAGTGAGCGTAGCGAACGAACTTCAACCTGGAGGCGAGTTAGCGTAGCGAACGAGCTAACCTGAAGGCAAGTGAGCGCAGCGAACGAGCTTCCACCCAAAGGTGAGTGAGCGTAGCGAACGAGCTCCAACCTAAAGGTGAGTGAGCGTAGCGAACAAACTTCAACCAGGACGTGATTGAGCCATGCGAACGAGATAATCTTGAAAATTAAGAAGTTAAACGGGGCAAAGCCCGCGGGTTACAGCTAGTTTAACATAATACAGTAAGTAATTAGACTATTTAAATATTATTCCATTTGAATGAACATGGGTCGTCCGATTACTGTTCTGAAGGTGGCAAACTATTCCCTTGGGCCTAGATAATGTAATATGAATGGTAAGATTAACTCCAAAAAAAAAAAAACAGGAAAAACTTCATCGGCAAATGTTTTTTATTCACAATAAATCAGCCAGACTGTAAGGCAATATCCAAACCTACAGCAATTACATGATGCATTCTAAACTACCGGGGTTTTTTAGTAAACATGAAAACAAACCACTTTCTTAAATTAACTTTCATAATGCATTCTACCAAAGATTATAAAAAGTTTTTTCCTTCTTGACATATCAATATAGAACCATTCATTTCCAAGGGCGGTCCTAGACATATATTTTGGGGGGGGTCACCGGGGGGCCTGGGGGGTATGGAAAAATTTGGAAATAACGTCCTAAAACGAGTGGTTTTGAAGCTATTTTGAGGGCCTAGTTTAATGTGTTCAAGCTTCCCAGTTTATTTAAAGGTCAAAGAAATTTCTAAAAATAAACTTGTATAATGTCATGTTTTTGCATTATTGAGACTTGGGGTTTTAATATCAAAGGAATACTGCAACATTACAACACATTCAAGCATTATTGATTTACGAAAACACCCTTTCAACTCATGGTAGATGTATTTTCCTTCTACCATGCTTTCAACTGGTGCCAATGTGCATGCTAAACGGAAAATGTCCAAAATCAGACCAAGATTTCGAACCAGAGAACTTATTTTATCTAAGAAGTGTTTAAGAACTTGGACCCAAAACGACTGCATTATAGGCCTACCTCCCCGGTAAGCAACAGTTAACCTACACAAAGTACACTACCCAACTAACGTTGTCGTCGGCGTCCCGTCACTGGTACCGCCTGGAGAATTGGTTCTCAGTGTTCTCATTTTTTCTAGACCAGTGCCAGTGGCATTTTACAAGGGGTCAACGTGAGAATAAAGTTTTTGTGCAACGATTTTGTGGTTGTGCTGGGAATTAAATCTGTCCCTTCCACATCTAAGTCTGAGACACTACTATTTTGTTGTTGTTTTATGGCTAGCAACATGCCAATTGGGTTGTGGTATACTTAAATATGATATCAGGTGCTCTAAATATAAATACTATTTAATATTGAAAGTTTTGAAATTTGCTACGGTAATCATTGAATTACATTACTGTAATTACAAATCCTAACGCTCAACTCAGATAAATTAATATTCAACTACCTTTCAATCTTTGACTATTGATACAACTTCTTTTCTTTATCCAATACCCAAACCCAATTCAAGTTTTCAATCATCTAGGTTAAAATTAATGATATCATTAAATGCCGAAAAATTAAATAAGAAGAAGAATGCGGCCGAACGTCGAATGTCAGCATCGCTGCCGTTGCTGTATATGGCTAAAAGCGTCCGTCGTCTGCCGATCTTCCCTACTTTTCATAACGTACAAAAAAACAGTCAGACTCGAACGATGAGTTTTAGGTTAGAGTTTGTAATTAGTCCTTTAATTCGCCACAAGTGTAAAGACTACAATGAATTTCAATTTGGCAGAACGATTTGCAATAAAAATTATTAAAGTTCCTCTGGTGTAATAGTTTATATATATAAAAAATATTTTGGGGGGGGGTCATGACCCCCCTGACCCCCCCCCCCCTGGGACCGCCCTTGTTCATTTCTCTCGACGACAGATCGATTAGTTCTACACTTAGAGAAAAGTTAGATGAGTATTACCTTATTATTATATGGGAGGTACAAGAACTAAGGGAAAGTCTAACCACTTTTTCATATCAAGCATAACAAGATCTAGTTGTTACGCCTAGTTATT